ATGAAACTGTGTGAGAAAGAAAATAAACACTTAACAGTACATCCTGTTATCCTTTATGAGACAACTGTGTTTTCTCAGCAACATTTGGAGATATTTTCTACCGGAAGTGCATCAATAATGTTCTGTTGCTAGAGAAAGATAGGTTGCTAGCCAAATATACTACCTATGTATGGATATAAACCAGATCCTGTCAGATACATATTTTGGAAAGACCCTTCCCCCTGACAACGTACTTGCTATTATGTTAAGAACAGCTTTATAAGAATCCTTGAAATGAAGAATAGTGGCTAAGCAATATATTTTAACAGGGTCCTCAATATTATTGGCAATCTTCATACACTACGAGCTTTTCAATAATCCTATCTTTCACTTAATACATCTTTAAGCTAACAAATTTCCTCCCTCAATGACCTCTCTACTGCAAAGACAATAAAAACAAGGCCAATCTCTTAGTTGGGACATAGAGTTTTCTGCTTCTCTTTTGATGCCATCTACTGATCCAAATATTAGCAGCCAATGTGTCATTTTTACTTTGTATCTTAACTGAGCAGGAAGGAATGAAGTGAGAAAGAGAATAGCCTGAAACAATACATCTGCCAGGACTTCTAAAGCCCTTCTTAAAGTTCCTGCTGCTGTTACTGAGCCAGCCAGGAGCCAGGGTTGCCATTTGGCCATTTTTCCAGCCAAATTCGAGAAATCTGGCCGTATAGAAATCTGTTGGGCCGTGAAAAAAAATCACGTCTCTGGCCAAATATATTTGGCCGGAAATTTGGCCGTATGAAAGTTGCTTGGCCGTGAAATTGAAATTTTGGCCGAATACCAGTTTTCAATACAATATATTCTCATGAAAATGATTGGCCGCCACAAGTGCCGCGGGAGCAGTAGCAACAGCCTCCCTCGCTTGCTTGCTTGCCTGGCTGCCTGCCTGGCTGGGCTCCACATGCTCCCTTCAAGGGGAAATTCCATGTCTACGCCGCCATATCTTTGAGCTCAAAAGAAATCGGCTGTCCCCACAGGGTTGTAGTTTTGTTGGTTTGTGGGTTCATTTGTTTCATCTGAGGAGGGGAAGGCGACTCTACGCTGGGTGGCGGGACAGGCTCCCTTTTGGACCAAGAGGAAATTCTAGGCCGGCATCCTTTTCCCCCTGCTGCAGCATCCGTAAATTTCATGCCTACCGGGGCTTTCGCGCACTGGCTTTTCGCTCCCTCCGAGGACCGGGAGAGCCTCCCTGGCCCCCTCAAACTTCACAAAGTAACAAAGGGCAACTCCAGTTCCTCAGTAAGCCTTCTCCCCCCCACCCCTGCCACCATATTTTCTTTCTTTCTTTCTTTCTTTCTTACTGCTCGCGCCCTTTTTGCCACAGCAAAACACCCAGTTGTGCTTTGCTTGGGATCCCCATTTGAAACCTCTTCCTCTCAGTTGGTGAGGGGAGAGGGTGGCATTCCTCCTCTATCCATCGCCTCAGGCCCGGCTTACCAAAGGGAAAGAGAGGGGAAGGAAGGCGGGGTGTTAGTAGGCTTCCTGATCGCACGTGCACGGGGAGCCTTCCCGGCCTCGGTGCCGCAGTCTCGACAGAGACCATGCTGCCTCGCAAAAGAACATGGTGCCTCCTCTTCCTCCTCCTCCTTTTCCGCCCCACGTCCTCCCTGCCTCCCTGCCGCTGCCTAGCCTGGATGTGAGTAAAGAAATGCAGAAATTCCCATGTCACATCACGTTGTCAAATAAAGACTATTTTTTATGATTTGATTATTTAAAAACAGTTAAAAAAACAAAAAACAATATATCCTCATGTTATATTGCATAGAAAAAATTTGGCCAGAAAATTTGGCCATGAGAGAAAATAATTCGGCTGAATTTGGCCATATTTTGACTTGAGGTAGGCCACAGAGCCAAGCTGCGATTTGGCAACCCTGGTTTTCTTACTTACAGTTTGGTAGATTTGGTTTGTTTACAATCAGAAAGATTTAAAGTGTATGAAAGAATTTACTTTCTTTTGTAAGATTGATTTTGAAACAGAATTGTGCACAAATGTTAAACATGTAATTGCTAAAATGTATAAACTTTAAAATTGAATTGAAAGTGAATTGAAATTTGAAATAGAATAAGGAATGTATAATAAAGCAGATTAAAAATTATAATAAACGGGTGGAACAAAATGACAAGTGGTTGAAAGAACTCAATTCTACTTTGCTATAATCTTAAAGATAACTTTAATAAAATTATATACCATTGCTTTACCATACCAGAAAATATACCTAGTATGTTTAAAGGTTCTTCAAATTTATTTTGGAAATGAACAAGAGGGATCATTTTATCATGTTTGGCAATTGTGCAAAAAATTTAGAAAATGTTGGGTTTGAATACATACAAGTGATTCAGAGGGTTTTAAAAATTAACATTCAACTGAAATAAAAACTTTTCCTTTGGAACTGATGGATAAACAGTTGGAAAAATAGTCATAGAATATTGTATTTATACCTATAATGTAGGACTAGTTGGTGAGAATACCCAATCTACTTGTTTGATTAAAGACAATATTTACATTTATTTATTTGCTTGTTTGTTAAATTTATTTGCAACCTAACTTGCCATAGGGCTACAATATGTGGCTTACAACAGTGAAACAGAGAAATGAAAAGAAGTATAAACATGACAGTAGCAAGATAATGAAACAATAAAATAAACAAAGAAAATGCAGCAATATGAGGTTAAAAATGGGTGGAGGGAATGCAGGGGGAAAGGAAGTGGGGTTAGTAATCTAGTAGCCATATCCAGTGTGCCCCCCCCCCAAACATTGGGTCCCCAGAGTAATTGGCTGGGCCAGGTGTTCAGGCTCTTGTGGGAGAATAGAAGGCTGGGGGGTAGATCTTGCCCTTAGGGTTAGGATGCTCCAGAAAGTAGGAACCATGGCAGAGAAGGCTCTTCTGGAGCCAGAGTTCTTTATCTGCCAATATAAGTGGGATGGGATGGACTTAGCAAGATGAGAGTTTATTGGTGACTGGAGACACCTGGTACATTTTTGCTTAAAAGAAAAAAACCAAACTTAATATTTATGGTTTTGATGATTTGTATGGTTGTTTTTTGAAAGAATAGCATCATAATGTAACTTTAGAAAGGTCTTTAGAAAGTAACTGCACTGTATTTTTAAACTGCTCTAAAAAGCAGAAGCCACTTTATTATCTTTTTTCTTTCTTTTTTATCTCTTTTTTCTTCTATTTTTATGTTACTCTTTTTGCACAATTAGTTTTTTTTTTTCATTTTTACTCTATTTGTATTGTTGTGTTTAAATTTTTTAATAATTTTTTTAAAATGCAAACTATTCTAACAAAATATAAGTTGGACAAAAAAGAAAAGGGGGCCCAGTGTTGAGAGACAAAAAGAGAGCTCTTGCATAATGTAATTAAATTTTGAGCTATGCTGTTTAGTATAATTTTGTTGAAATTGTAATATATTTCTTGGAAACAATGTTGCAATAGCATTGTTTTTAAATGTTATTCAAGGAATTGTTTTGTACTATTCTTCCTGGAAAGCAAAATTTGACCTAAAAATAGTATAATAGTGCCACCTATTGGGCTTCATGCGAACGTACAAAAACAAAATGGTCTTGTATGTGAAGACAAAGGAAGCAGCAGACATAAACAATTCATCAATACATTTTCTTGGTTTTAATAAGGGGTGGGGTAGGAAAATAAGATCCTATCCTGCTTTATCATACCAATGAATAAAAATACGGTTTCATTAATCCAGGTAAATGGAATAAAAATCACAAGTTTTCCAAAGAATTTGCAATTGAAAAAGAGTTCGTGATGAATGGGAAGGAACTTAGACAAAGCAGAATTTTATGGTCTTTATGACATCTCTGCATATTAATTTTTTTTTATTTATTGTAGTCTTTCGCTGATAGTGTCTCAAGCAAACCATTGGCAAGGTGGAAATGGTACTAGATTAAAAGGACACAGCTCCCTTTTATATTGCAGCAACTTTTAATTTGATCCGTTTTACTTCCTTTCTATACTTTTCTTACTTCCAAGAAAGCCCAGAGCAATTTTCAAGATAAGAAGAAAAAAAAGTAATATTTTTCACAATTAAAACAACTGTGTTTAAAATCAATAAATGTCAATATTAGAACAAAATATAATGCAGTGTTCTCCTGAAGCAGGCACTACATAAAAAGAATGGGATATGACTAGATGTTCGTTCTCTAGGAAAGCTAGAGTTTCACAAAGAAATCAGATACTATTCCAGTGGCAACTTGGTAATCTATAACTAGAGTATCCCAGGAAACCCACTTATACTTAAGTAATGGAAAAGCTGGTTGTTTGGAAGTGCTTTTAATATTTTTTTTGGTGGGGGGGGGGGTATCATGGGATGTTCCAGATGGGGTTATGATGTAAACCCAGCAAGGCCATATTATGCCTATCATAAATTGGCAAGTCTTTACCGCTGCCCCTTTACACTTATTATTTCTGTTCCTCTACCCTTTAATCTTGTGATGAAGAAACAAGTATGTTTATTTAATTGGTTTTAATCTTTAAAAGGTATTCAAATTTTAGGCTATTACCAAATGACAGGAACATCTTAAAATGGCAAATGTTAATTTCAATTTATTTGAAATATTATCACATCTTTCAGCAAAAAAAATAGTGCTGCTGACAAAAGAACAATTAAAACAAATATTCAAAGTTGGGAATCACAACTCATAGAGTTTAGCCTTGCCCTGGGCATTCCAGGTAAATTTCACATGGTTTGTTCATTGTTTGACTTATCTTTATTATAATCAAAAGAGATTCTTCATAATTTACAATAGATCCATAAAAATATAATAAAGCAATCATAGTATAACTGCAAAAATAAACCAATTCCCAATCAATTGCATCCATTCATATTCCTCTCTGAAATAACTTGTGGATCTTGGATTTTGAAATTATGGAGCTTCATCACTGGAGGCTTTCAAGACGAGATTGGACTTCCATTTGTCAAAAATTGTGTAGGGTCTCCTGCTTGGGTGGGCGGTTGGACTTGATGACCTACAAGGTCCCTTCCAACTCTGTTAATCTGTAATCTGTCTTTCCCATAACTAGTCATTATATTGACAATTTAGCATGTATAGAAGGAAACTGAGAAAATATACTACACCAGCATGATTGTTCCATCCCAATAGTCTCTTTATAACTTTTGGGAAAATGAGGTATTTCACGAACATTTATTCTTCGTTTATCATGAATCTTCCTTCAAAGTTACACTGAGATTGCTCCAGGTACTACCTTACGGATGTATGTATATGACTTCCTCAAGGTGACACTCCCATGATGCGAGACCCCACGAGGGAGGATGCACTCCTCGGTCAATTTCTGGGTCTTGGCATCCCAACACAGCACTGTGGCAATGACATCATTCTTCTCATCCCGTCCTCCAGTAATGAACAGTTTGTCATTGCAAGGAGCAATCCCACAACTAGCACATTCATGGTTTAACTGAGTCACAAGGCACCATATATCTTTGAATGGGCTGTAAGAATAGACTGCTTTCATTGCCCCTCCTAGAAAAGGAAGGTAGAAAATTATTATTTTCTAGAAGTGACTGGTTCTTTAATGCATAAAGTGAAACCTCAATTTAACAGACTCCCATTAATTTGGATGCAACAGATATTTGTTTCTAGATATTCCCCCCAAATTATGTAGACAACATCACTGCATCTGAAACAGGCAATCTACATAAGGCAGTTAAAATTTTGGTTTGTTTCTGGTATGTGCAATGATTATCATCATTTGTGAAATGACATCATTTTGCAACCTATGTAAATCATTGCAAATGATGTACCATAGTTTGTGGTTTAATGGACATTTAGGAGTCCATTACATTCAGTGTTGATTGCACTAAGTTTCAGAGCAGTGTAGAGGATTTATGTCAGAGTCAAGTTACTTCTCCCCACACACTACAATATGTAAAAAAATAGACAATAAAAAGTTATTGTGAGATTAAGGCTGATGTTGCCATAATCTGGAGAAGACAAAAGCCAAGAATCTTGTCTCAAAGATCCTTTCCAGGAAGGTAGATGAGACAGAACAAATCATTCTGAAGTCAAAGAAGAAATATTATCTGAAGCAAAGACTTCAGCAAATGTAGTGGCTGGGACTTGTGAATTAACAATCTGGGGGAATAAAAGAGGTGCTGAAGCCCTCCCAACTTTTTGAACCCTCCAACTCTTTTGTCTTCTGAACCAAGACATGGACCTCTAGCTAATGTCTGGTAGCTTAGGTGTGTGTCTGAAAGGGGGAGGGGGGGAGAGAACACATAAATGTACATAATAATCAGTATAGTTTTACTGCTATTTTAAATTCATTGGGCCTTTATGTATTCCTAAGAAGCTGATATGCTTCAGTGTTCTGTTGAAACTGATTTGTGTTTGTTCCTAAGTATTTCCTGGCTGTTGATGACCAGGGATGTGTGTCTTGTCTTCTCTAGCCACACTGATATGGAAAAATCCAGGCAGAAAACATGAGGGACTTACAAGATCAATGTATCTCAACAGACTGTAAGTGAATGACCATAAGCCCATAGGTAACACTATACCAGGGTTTATGATTACAGTGCATACTGGCTCCAGGATGTCTATTGCTCAACTTCCTACCTATATCCTGGTATAAAATCGAATACAAAAACTCCTTGTCCTCTTTTGTGCAAGATATTTAACCACTGATAATTGTTTGGATTTGATCTATTCAAATCAAAATGATATCTGGAAGCATATTAAATACACAACTTTTTTGGCACATGCTACTAGACTGTACATCAATTATGTCCTTGTCTGTGACTTACTGAAAATGTGTATGAAATTATTGTTAAACAATCTTGATTTGTATATAGGAAATGAGAGGAGACATATATGTCACAGACTCACTGAAAAGAAAGCAAAATATTCTATTTTCTTACATTCAAAAATTCATCTAAAACATTGCATTTTTGTATATATGTAGACACACACACACACACACACACCCCTCATGCTGTACGTTCACTGTAATACATATATAAGCAAGCATCATACTATTACATCACTTTTAAATGATTTCTGTAATACCAATATATTCAGTCTCCTATAGGAGAATCTAATAATAAATACTCTAATTAATATCCAAATGTATCATTAGTACTAACTTTACTATTGTACATTAGCTAACACTAAAATGCACTCTATATCTCTAGAAGTATCTGCATGATCTAATTAAAGAGTATCACAAGTCTGCAGTAAACAAAAATAAGTATATAAAAAGAGTTCTGAATTAAAGAAAATATGCAAAATTATTAAGCATGTTAAAGCAGATATTAAACCTACCCACAACATAGATGTGATCATGAAAAGTTGTAGCATTGATACACTTTGCTTCAACAGGCATAGGTGTTTTCAAGCACCAGTTGTTCGTTGTTGGATCATAACATTGTGTATTGTCAGTAGCTAACTTTCCGTTGGGTCCTCCTCCAATCACATAGAGTTTATTTTTGTAACTGGCTGCTCCAAATGAGCTCACACAGATCATGAGAGGAGTTGCCTTTATTAACATCAAACAAAGTAATTTAGGAATGTGTTAGAATTAATTTTGATTTTATGTGTCTTATTATATTAGGGAAATGGAATATGCAATTGAGTTGAACTTGAAGTCCAAAGTTGAAACTTACTAGATGATTAGGAAGAAGAATATTACAATGATAGAGAAAGAGAATGAAAAGTTGATTCAAATTTGTGGGTCAGAAAAAAATAATGCAAAACTTGCTGCAGTGTTCATGGGATAAGGAGTCGAAGAAGAAGCATAGATATGAATCTGTGGAATAGGAATTCAAGTCTGTGCTTGCCAATGGAATGACAGAGTGGCTTTGGGCTAATCATCCTGAACCCATTTTTTTCCACAGAAGAAAAATAAAGTAATTCTCAACAGTGTACCAATATGGAAGTTTTTAAAAAGATGTTGGATAACCACTTGTCTGAAGTGCTGTAGGGTTTCCTGCCTAAGCAGGGGGTTGGACTAGAAGACTTCCAAGGTCCGTTCCAATTCTGTTATCTATTCTATTATTATAATGGTTAGAATAATAAGAATTGTTGTTTTTCAACAGAATTGGACTAATTCCATAGGAATGAATTATATTGCAAAGCATAATAAGTTCCCAGGAGGAATCTAACATAGAATTCTAGAAAATGTTTCTTACATAAATGGAAATACCATTTTAAAAGGAAAGAAAGTTTTTTGCTCATAAATAGAAAATGAGTTTCTTAGGAAACATTTAGCTAAATGTATACGTCTTTGTTTTAATTTAGACCCATGAAAATTGGCACATGAAGTAAAATACATCTATTTTTGCATTTTCGGTTTTGTGAATTCATACTAACATAAAAGTGGGAAACAGGAATTGAGAGTAATGGTACAACATTACAACACTGTCTATGAGCAGTGCTTTGCTCAGACTTGTGCATCCTCTATGTAGGCTGCATCTAAAAACAGCCTGGGATTTCTGATTTGCTTTGAAGATCTTCACCTGCAAGAGCTGCTACATGGGGTGTGAAAACAGATGTGCTAAGTTCTGTATGTCTCTCTTGTCTAATCTACATTCATACTGCACAGCTAATAATGGAGGACAAAATTAATGTTTTAATACTCTGTGTATCTGCTGGCTAGTTCTACTCTATTATAGATGCAGGCTTAAAAAACCCATTTCTGGTGTTGTGTGTGAAAACACTCTGTTTACTTACATTAAATAGCAACAACATTGTGTTATTTTTGTCCTGTTTTCTATTTCACTAATACTGAAAGTACAGCTGTACTTTACCTCAGACCAACAGTTGTGAAAGGAATCATAAATCTCCACACTGTTAAGTCTTTGTACACCATCAAAACCACCAAGCACATACACTTTGCCACCCAAAACAGCCATTTTGTGCCTCCATCTTCCAACATTCAAATATTCAATTTGGATCCATTTGTTGATGGATGAATTATACTTCCAGACTTCATGTTGTGTTTCTTTTCCTCCTGCAGCAAATAAAAATTAAATTCCACTTTTTTCCCAGATCCAGGACATATTCTGAACAACGTTTTTTGTTCATATGCTCTCATTAGACTCTTGACCATGATGCTGTTGTCTGGTTTGTTTTTTGTTTTTTGTTTTGTTCATTAAAATTTTAGTCCTCATGCTTAAGAGATGAACAGAACTAATCTCAAAAAGGTCTGACACTTTTTTGTAGAATTTAAGTACATTATGTTTTTAACTGGAATGAAATAACATATTTGAAAAACAGAAGCCTTTTTTATCTATATAGTTTGTTAGATTTATACCTTGCCATTTCTTCAAGAGCCCAAGTGTATATATAGTACTCAAAATATTCAATATTTTTCCACCAAAAAGTATTTTTCCCTTGGTTAAGTGTGTGACTAAAAGATGTCCAGTAAAAGTTTGTGGGAGAGAGTGGATTTAAACCTCAGTTTCAGTTTGCCATATTCTTTACATGCCTGCCCTTAGAAATGACAAACTTTTTGATCCAGGACGCTGTACTGTCTTATAAAAACATTTCCAACATCTGAAAGGTGCAGATGTGACATAGAAGTGATCTATCGGTTCCTTCTTTTTGATCTGGGAGAGGATCTGGGAGCTTTAAGATGCTAAATAGACACATCTATTTTGCACTCAAACATCACAAAAAATAGGGCTACGAAATAATAAGCAGCTGATGACCAACAGGTTCTCTATCCATTGCCATCACCTCAACAATCTACACTGCATAAGAAGCAAAAGATTTGTTTTATACTATTTTTGTTTGCCCTTATAATTTTATCTATTAATGCTATGTAATGTTTTGGATCTTATTTCCAAAACATAGGATTAATGAGAACCCAAATGTAACTACTGTGTACTTCAAAATAAAAGTGGCCAGATGAAATATTTGCAGATGCTAAAACATATTTTGGAGATCAAATTAACATCTATGCCCCATAGACCCAGGGCATACAATAAGACTCCTTGCCATTCTACTCATCTCACATTTTAAATAAACCTGAATAAATATGGGGTCTGAATAGGAACTATACCAAAGGAGGGAGGGGGGGAGGGAGGGAGGGAAGGAAGGAAGGGGAAAGAGATGCCAACAACGCTGCTGCAACATCTCCTTTCCAGCTGCTTCAAATCAGCCTTGCTCCAGCAGCAGGGCCTCTGCGCAAAGTGCCAAGGACACAGGGGCACCAAATGACAGCCCAATGCCCGTTACAGGGCACCAGGTTATGGGAAGAAGTCTATCCAGTTACAACTTCATGAAACTGTGAATATAGGAGAATGAAGCACCAGAAAACCGCAGCTGCCATGTAGCCTGACTTGACACACTGAACGCAAAAATATTTACATAAAGGCACCTTATAGGTCAGCAGCACTCCTGTTAAACAGCATGGTTTCTTCTGGAAGTAAAGCCTTTGGAATCTCTGATGGCTTCCCCAGAGATGCTTCCCTGGGGAAGTGGATCAGAGAGTTCAGCTTGCATCTCTTTGCTTGCTTGCTTGTTAGTTAACTATTTAGTTCTATGATTCTTCTTTTCAAAAAAAAAAAAAAGGCAGGGGAGGAGGAAGAGAGAGAACAAATTATTTCATTCCTTACCTGATATGTAGACTTCATTTCCTAGTGTAATACAAGCAAACTCCACCCACTTTTTATTTTCACTTTCTAATTCTTGTTCTGTGTTCGGCAGCTTTGCCACTTCCAAACGACTGCGTCTCAGAGGATCAAGGCAAGTTACTTCTGATACAAATTTTTCATCCTTTGTGCAACCGCCTATGATCATAAAAACCTCAGACTGGAATTCATGCATTCTGGGCTTTGTTCTTCCTGAAATCATCTAAACAAAAACAAAATTACTATTACTGTTGTTTGATATTGTTGTTAAAATCTAGCAACCAACAATCACTTTCCCCACCTTCAAATATATATTCAGTTCATGGATGCACATGTTTGTAGAGACTAGAAGGGGACATTTGGTCCTGAGGTCAAGTGACAGAACTCTATAACTGGGTGGGGTTAATTAACTTACAATTTCCCCTTTATGATGTATAATAAGTATAATTTGTTAGCAATTTTTGAAGATGCTCTGAGCCCTCTGACCAGCACCATTATTCTAGCCTTTAAACACATCATACATCAAAGAGGTGATAAGGAATTCATTCATAAATATAATTAATAACAGATTTTTCAGGTAAAATTGTAAATAATAACCCAAAAATCCTATGACAATAACAAATTACTGTCAGCAATTGTACAATTTTAGGGAGAAATATAAAATTGTGTGGCTACAAAATATTTTAATGTTCCAGGGGCTATGTGAGCTTCTGAATATATGAATATATCTCTGATTTAGAACAAAAAAGTTTGTTGAAGGCCATGAAGCCATTATCCATGGAATTAATATTACCACATGTTTACTCACCTCATTTCCTGATAGATGGTACATTCTGGCTTCCTGAAGCAGAGGAAAGACATCAGGACATTGTCTGATGAGTGGATCTGCTTCAACAGTGTTTACAAAATACCAAGGATCCAGAAGAGGTAAACGCACACTCTCGAGGATATATGGGAGAAGTGGGAGCCTGTCCACTGTTTTGTAACGCACCCACTTCATAACTATCTGAAATACTTGAGCTTCTTCAGTGACACAGAGGTCATCACTTTTTAGCATGCTATTTAGAATGTCTGCAGGCAACTCACAGACCTCATCATAATTCACCACTTGTGTAAAATTCTGGACAATATAATTCTCGACTTGCTGCTTCAATGTATCAAGGGAATGAGTATCAGCCAGCCTGAGAATCCCAACACAGTTTTCTGGGTGTAAAGCTTCTTTAAGGAAACGGGAACAAGCTTCTATCATGCGCAAAAACTGAAAGTATAGGAGAAAAATATCATATAGACCTATTTTCTTGTCTTTTTTCACTGCTCTTGAAAAACCCTAAGAACATGAGGAACGACATTGGTTGATGCGAAAAATGCCCAAATTCTTATCTTACAATTTCTGCCCATTGTTTCTTTTAGGTATAGTAGTTCAAGTTTGTGCATGGTTCAGTTATGTGGTAGCAATCCATGACTGAAACATTTTCTTCTCACTGTTGACCTTGACAATATTTTGATACAGTTCAAGGGCAACGAGATAATCAGCAGCCAGGCAAGTCTTAGCAACCATTTGGAAGCACTGGAGTCCTATATCTAAGAATATAAGAAGAGTGCCCATAGATCAGGCCAAAAGCTTATTCTTTGTAAAGCAATAGCCAACCAGATATATCCTAGAACTTCACAAATTCTAGTGAACAAGCAGTAAAGGACAAGGGTCTTCTTCCACAGTTATTCCTTAAATGCAACTGATACGATGCCTTTGATTCTGGCCCACCTCAAAACAGTTAATGATTGCATATCACTCTGTATGTTTTGCATTCAATGGTAATTGCTACTTTTCAACAAACATTTAATATTTTATATTATAATGAATGCATCCAAATTAATCTCAGTAAAATACCACAAAAGACAAGAAATGACTGTGCTGAAGGTAAATTACTGATTAAATTACTAAATTACTACTGATGGTCCTCTGAACTAGCAAGTGTTTTGACCCAGTTGTTTAATGAGGGCAACAATTATGTTGCTATAAAAGATACTCTATGTACTCCTGAAATTAAGAAAGTGGGAGTAATTTATTTTGATTATTTTCCAAATATTCTGCTGATAACCCTCAGTAACATTACCGAAATGCACATTTAAGGGGTTAGAATAAATAATTAACAATCCTACTTACCAAATATTATTAGTGCAATAAGATTAATAATACTATTGTTTGGGATATATATTAATTATCATGAACATAAGCAATCCAAAAGTAATAATAGTACAGAGGTTAATTTGTTTACATTATACTGAATTCATAATTTAACACAATGATTTAATACATTGTGGAAGCTATCAAATTATACAAAAAGAAAAAAAATTACCAAATGAAGGCGAATATAAATGTCCTAGGATAATGTTGCAGGGTCACCAGGACCAAAACTTTGCCACCTGAGCTTTTAGACTCATGCTGGGCCCATCTCTCTAGCTCTAGAGAGAAGTTCCCTAAAAATGGGCTTGGGCACGAGTCCAAAAGCTTGAACTACAAAACCTCTGGTTACGGTGACTGATCAAGATTGGATTCTGAAAAAATGTTACCATATCTGGATCATGCTGGCAAATAGCAACAGCACTTAGACTTATATACTGTTTCACAGTGCTTTTTACAGCCCTCTCTAAGTGGTTTATAGAGTCAGCATATTGCCCCCAACAATATGGATTTTCATTTTACCCACCTTGGAAGGATGGAAGGCTGAGTCTTGAGCTTGAGCTCACCTTGAGCCTGGTGAAATTTGATCCGCCAAATTGCAGGCAGCCTGCAGTACTGCATTCTAACCATCTGCACCATCTGCTAAATATCCACCCTGTTACTCTAAAAGCTACCAGCATTGGAATCAGCCTGGCTATAAGGCTGAACTATACAACCATGTCAAGTATAAATGTTGGAAGATAGTACTGGCATCTTGCTGGCCATTTCTTAATATCTTCCACCAAATGTCCTCCACTGAGGTACCAAGTTGTATGTATCACACACTATTTGGTTACCCCCAGATACCAGGAATGATTCTATCTTCTTCCTAATATTATGGTAAGATTCAACCATCAATATAGTAAGCTTATATGCACATGTTGAGTCTAGTGTTGGTTCAAATGGTTTTGAAGAGTTTGATGATGCCTCTTCACATATTTCATGCAAGTAAAACTGGGGAGAGGACAGTTACCTTCAGTGATCCATTAAGGGAAGAGCTATTCTGTCTTCCCACTTCCCCCTTTTCTCAGGTTGCACTTCATGAAGCAACTGCTTAATTCTGCTTAATAATAGAAGTGTCATCTTGTATTGTAAAACATGTTAAGCAAGTCCTTGTAATACTACATTAATTTCTCCCTAACAGCTGATGAAATCTCAAAATTGTTTTTGGTTTGCTGCACATAAACTGGTTACATGTTTAAAACCCAGCATGGTTTTTAAAAGTAATTTAAAAGTAAAAGAGAGAAGTGAAAAACCAGAAACAGTTTAATAGGGTATGTAGATTTTTTAAATTATTCACAGGAGAATCTTATGTTCTGAACCATGTCCTGTTGACACATTTACATTGCTTACACAAACTGAAAATTAACAGACTCGGTCTATAAACCACTTGTTTCCTGTTTTTTGAGATACATGTATGGAAATATTTAACTTAGTATTTCCAATGAATATCCATCTGATGTTGCATAATTGATCATATCAGATACATTTGTCAAATAGTAATGATTTTAGCTATTTAGCTAATAGTAATGATATTTAACTATTACTTAATGAGACAAGAATTATATAGTTGTTCTGTTCAATTCTGCAAGAGAAAGCACTGATGAACCTTCTTCCATTGTGAGGTAGGAAATTCAAAAAATCTGAAATAGACTTACTAAAGGAAACTTGTCATCTGAAAACAAGTAAAACTAAATGCCTTTTCCAAAGTAGCTCTCCAAAACAGAAAATCTGTAGCCTCAGCCCAGTTATGGCCTCATTTACTATTCCCATAAAAATGTTATATTGTATGTGTCCCCTGGCTACTTGAAGTGTGCCCTCATATGTACTATGATACAAAGATACACAACTCCTATGTGATACACTGTTGCGTATCTTGTGTACCTTGTGATGCACTGCTCTTATCCTAAATTTGCTAGTTTTGTGTGTTGAAGACCAAAATAGAGTTTATTTTTATTCACTTTTTACTCTTCAATTTATATCTTCCTTCCCAGATAGTAGGTACATTACTTTTTCCACCAATTTTCCTCACAACAAGCCTGTGACATTGTGAAAAGAGAATGTGACTGACCCAAAATCAGTCATGAGTTTCCCTTACTGAGAATGGACTTCCAGTCAGGGCACCACCAAATGTTAATGTTAGAGGTCTAATGCTTCACACACACACACACACACACACACACACACACACACCATTGATCTATTACCTCACAAGGTTCTAGTCTGTCTTCTATGCCTTATAACATTTACACTTACCACTTATAATTTATTTCCAGAGGAGTATGTTTTCAGTATGCTGATAACATTCAGCTGTACAGTTCAGTACTCTGCTGACAATTAGTGACGTTGAACATGCCTAAGCTTAAATGGGCTGGATGAGAGAGAAGAATTGACATTCATCCCAGACAAAGTAGAGGTCCCTAACTGGGAAAGAAAAAGCTGAATACTGGAATTTAGATGCTGTTGGTTTTGGGTGTGATCATGCCAACAGACTATGTTACCTGTGGTCTTGCTATCTGCTGTTATCTCATGTAGTCACAGTTAATAAATATAGTATGGGCATAATTTGTTTATACAGCATATAAGCAATTTCTTTTGTTTTGGAACACAGTTCTGTCCTTCTGTTTTTCATAGGCACAATTCATATCCAGATTCCACCCTAGTATTTCCTAGCAATCCTATAAATTTGTAGCATTCTGGCCTTTTATGTTATTGTGTCACTGCATATTGTTTCTTTCACAGTGAAAATAAACTAGAAAATATACAATGTAAAAGTATTAAATCTGAGATGGGAGATACCCTTATTTCTGGGTTTTTTTTTACTACTGCATTTTGGTGATTTGGAGAAAGAGTTTGGGGGTTATTTTCAAAAGCTCTACAGCCCACTATAATTATACACATAATTATACACATAATTTTCCCATAATTATGCACTGGAACATAATATCCAGATAAAGAGGTCCATCCCCATCCTCCAGAAGGAACAGTTTCATAATTAAAAATATTTTTTGATCTATCACTATCACTAGATTTTCAGGCATGGTGAGAATGTTCTCCCAATTATGGCTAATGAGTCTATTGTGATCCTTCCTCAGTAATCCAGACTTAGCAACATTTAATTATACTTTGGTTGCAACTTGTAACATCATTTCAATGTGCTTGAAAAGCTTCCAGAAAGTGCAATACAGTTGCACAATACACAATTCAACAGTTAAGCTGATGACCTATGCAAGGTATAGAAATCACACAATTGGTACTGATCTTTAAAGCCCTTAGGACAGAAATGTCTCTCTCACTATGAACATGCCCAGTTACTCAAATCAACAGGAGGGCCCCTTTTGAAGGTTCCTGCATGATACAAAGCTACAAACTGAACTTCTCAGGGAGATTCCACAGCTTGAGCTTTTCCACAAGACTTCCTTTTTCCACTCCCAGGAGATATCCTTGGTATTTACTCTCTTATATGGTGAGAAATGTTAAGGGGTTGGACTAGGAGTTAAAAGTTTCAGGTTTAAGTCCAACATCAAATGTTCACTGGATGATTTGGGGTAAATTATTTTGCCTTAATTTATGGCACAATGTAATTGTTATGGGGATAACTAGGTCTTCAACTACGCTTAGATATAAGCACATGCCAAATAACAGATTAACAGAGTTGGAAGGGACCTTGTAGGTCATCTGGTCCAACCTCCTGGCCAAGCAGAAGACACTACACCATTTCTGACAGATGGCAATCCAGTCTCTTCTTGAACGCTTCCAGTGATGAAGCTCCCACAACTTCTAAAGGCAAGCTGTTCCATTGGTTGATTGCTCTGTCAGAAAATTTCTCCTTACTTTCTGGTTGAATCTCTCCTTGTTCAGTGTCCATCGATTATTTCTTGTCTGGCCTCCAGGTGCTGTGGAAAATAGTTTGACCCCACTTCCTCTCTGTGACAGCCCCTCATATATTGGAACACTGCTATCATGTCTCCCCTGGTCCCTCTCTTCACTAGACTAGCCATGCTCAATTCCTGTAACCATTCATCATATGTTTTAGCCTCCAGTCCCTAATCATCTTGGTTGTTGTTCTCTGCACTTTTATACTCAAAATAAAAATAATGTTCCCAGTATTTGAGAAGTTGGTAAAAATATCCCTCTTCTACCAGGCTTTTGTTAATTTATTTTAATATAATATTTGTTTTACCAATAAGTTAATTGGATTAATGCAGTTTTAGTTTAAAGTTTATATTTTTGCTGCGGCAAACTGCCTTAATTGCCCACTGGATGAAAAACCAGGATATAAATACCATAAGAAATAGTTAAAACCATAAATACTATTACTTCCCTCTAAGGATCTTTTACTTCTAAGAATTTTTGATACATTTATCTGTATTAATCCCAAAGGTAAAATTAATAGAGTACTAGTGCTAATTAATTCTGCTTGAGAGGAGAAAACTTTAGCCAGCTTCACCATAGGTCACCAGCTAGTAAACCACAGGAAGAAACTGGAAAGCTGTACAGGACAGTTTCCAGGGACTTTTTCCAGAGAATCTCACCTCTTCCTCCCTCCATATCCCAAAACTGGAATTATTGTTTTATTAAACAACTACCTATCCAGCAATATTTTAAAGAATGCATAGTAAACAGCCATTATTTGGCTATGCTTATAAAGGCTTACGGCTTAAATAAAATTAACTCATAGCTTAATCTTAATATGTGTTTTGGCCCTACATATATTTTCCATTAACTGCATGCATTCACTAACCTGAAAAAGGCTGGCAGCTTCAAGGACTTTCTGCACATTTTCCTTGGTAATCAGCACTTTACTGGTATATGTATAGTCCAAAAGAATCTGCATTATTTCTGCATCAACTCCCTTAATAACTATTTTTTCTTCATACTTTTCTTTTAAGTCATTGCAAAACATTGCCCTAAAGGAGAAAAATAGACAGTTCAGTAAATCTGGAAAATCCAGTCAGTCCGCAAAAAGTTCTGGAAATAAGTTCAATACCACTTAAACTATTTCACTTTATTGTACCAGATCAGTGGAACACATGGAATTTTAATTTCTGTGTAACCAAAAAATATTCTAATAATTAGCCAAAGCAATAGTTCACTAATATCTCAGAGCAAAGAGATTGTACTTTTATTTTGATTGAACAAAAAATTAATAGTTATACCAATCTAGGTGATTTTATTTCAATTTTCATAATGACGTTCCCAAAGGAGTGGGCATTGCAGCAGCAGTGTAAGGGGGTTTTCATTGTGGTTTGACGAAATAATTATATTATAAACATTAATAACAGAATAAGAGAGGTGGAAGATACCTTAAAGATCTGTAGTCCAAATCCTTGCTCCATCAGAAAACCGCATTCCATTTCAAACAAATGGTTTTCCAATCTCTTCTTAAAAGGATAGGAACAAGTGTAGGAACAAGAAACAAGTTTATTTTGGGGGCCCTACACTATTTCATACTGTATCTCTTTCAATAATCTGGAAACTACATTACTTCAGGTGGGTGACCAATGATCATTATTAGTCAAAAGAAAATTTGTGCTTTGTTATATGTAGACAATGTTGCTCTTTCACATACCACATTGGGCCTGAAATGACTGCTTGAGGCATTAGTTAAATTTGACCAGAAAAATCAATTCAAATTAATCATGATAAAATTAAATGTTGGGTTTTGATTTTAAAAAAAACTACACATGGAAAATTCAAGATCATGAGATGACAGAAGTAGAACATTTTAATTATTTGAGCATTTTATTTAATCCTGGCAACATCATTGAAAGGCATTAGTTCAAAATAGCAAAGCAAAATACAGAGGCAGTTTGGTCTGGTGGTTAAGACATCAGCCAGGCTAAAAGCCAGGAGACTGTGAGTTCTAGTCCTACTGTAGGAATGAAAGCTGGCTGGGTGACATTGGGCCAGTTACTCTCTTTCAGCTCACAAATTTAGGCTCACTTGTTGCAACTAATAGATGATGGGGGGGGGGGGGGGGGGAACCGAACCTGCAGAAAACACTAAGAAGAAAACAAAAAACTCAAAGCACATTCAGCTGTATTACTCAGATGGCTTCAATATTTTTTAAAAAATGGGGCATTTGTTCCTCAAAAATGCAAAATATTATTTCTCAAATTTTATGTGGAACATCAGACTGAGTTACATTTACCAATAACATAGCCCAACTGCAAGTAAAACTTTTAATACCTCTTTTAGGTATTCCAAGTAGAATTCCAAAGATTCTGTTGTTCTCTGGAAACCAGGCAATGTTGATTGAAACAAAGGCTTTGCTAAGCCTACAGCATTAAGTTTTGATTACAAACATATTTTATAAAAACAAGAAAGGATTGCTTCATGAAATCCCAAATGATTAAATAGAGGTTGAACAGGTGACCTACAAGATTAGTCAGATTGGCACTGATCCTGATGATTTATTTTCCAGAGGTCCATGAGCATATAATTATATTAAACAAAAAATTATGGAATAATTCAATACATAAATTAACGGCTAAACCAAATTTCCATGTTCACTTGTAACTTTTAGAATTAATGACAGATATAGATTCAGCTCCTTATATAACTTAATAATTTATGTTTAAGTAAATACAGAATTGTCTTTTCAAAAGCCAGATTATATATAATACATCTTGCCATCAAATATGCTACATGTTAAATTGCAAAAAAAACAAAACCTTCTCTCAAAGATTTTGCCTATATAATGGATTGATTTTGAAACAGTGAAACACATTTTATCGTACTGTGAATTTCATGAGAACCTTTTCCAGGATGTTATGTGGTCTATTTATAAAATCAAGCCCAGGAATAGATACTGATGTGATAAAATGTTACCTGCAGATAAAAATTCTAAAATTGCAGAGGCAACTATATGATTTTTAATCAAGACTACAAAAACATGGTTTTAAACCACATTTCAATGTTGGAATTATAGGTGTTTCATGTAATAAAAGTATTTGTTAAACGGTTTTATCTGATGCCCAAATTTTAAATTACATTCATAACTTGCCTTTGGGCCATAAATAAATACTAATATTAACAATAATATTTTATGTCAATGCTACACTTTTAACACCAAGTTTACAATAAGCTTATTATAAATATTATACCAATAATGAAAAGGAGCAAGAGCTTTATCTTCTGCTAGATTCTTTAATGTGGAATTTAGATATGATTATTTTTCCAAAGTATTTCTTTGTGGAAGTCAATAAATATTCAAGCAGAAATGACTGAGTATATTGAGTTCCTATTTTTGTTCATGTCCTAAAGTTTTAAAAGTTATTTTGAGAAATTATAGAATATCTGGGAAAAAGAGATACCTACTTTCTAAGCTGTGATCTATATTTTGTGGCAGATAAATTCCATTTAAAAAAGAAAATTTAAAATATTACAGGCAGTCCTGGATAAGTCCTCCCCAAACGTGTTTTACAGCTTTTAGATCTTTGTATGGTCTAACTCGGCATTTTATTGGCATTTTATTGAACATGATACAAAGACTTTTCAGTTTTTCTCATGTTTGTTTTGTCAAAAATATTACATCTTTTATTCACAAATGAAGTTTTCCCCTAAATAGAACAAGGAATTGAATACATAGATGATGACCAAAAGTATTTTAAATTTTGATGATTCTATAACACCAGAGCTATTTTCTCTAGATAAAAAATAAAACAAAGGGGGGAAATCCAGCAAATTTTCTAAGAGGAATTTCATTGAATGTATACTTAGAAAGTCCTACCTTATTAACAGAGAATAATTATTGTTAGCATCTAATACAAAGTCATTCCTGTCAGTGATTCTAGATTAGGGATTTGCAGCCTGCATATTTATTAGGATAGGCTTTAAAATGATAAAAATGAGTAATGCTGATAATTTAACTACTATATCTAAACCAAACAAATAAAAACTCCACAGATAATTTCATCACCAGGAAAGGGATAATAATGACACTATATGTTGGGAAAGCTTGTAAGTTTTTAATTTCCTTTTTGAGTCTTGCGTAGGACTCTGTTGGATTTAATACAGTTTGTGGTTAAAGAGATCAGAGTAGAAATCAGGAGACTATGTGTTCTAGTTCCATTTTAGGCACAAAGTCAGCAGGATAACTTGGGTTAATCATTTTCTTTCAGCCCTAGGAAGGAGGCAATGGCAAACCACTTCTGAAAAATCTTGCCAAAGATTTAAACTGCAGAGACCAGTCCAGGCAGGGAAGTTACCAGGATTCACCCAGGAGTTTAATTCAAAGGCACACACACAAAAAGATCTGGGTTGCAAACATACAATACAACATTCGCTATAAATGTGTTCTAGCACCATCGCAAATACAAAATTTTGGGAAACATATAGAATACAGGTAGATTTAAATCAAGGATGTGAAAATGTAGTATTAACCTCCTATTTGCTAAGTTGATAGAGGTTTGTACAATCCAGTGGTCTTATTTTAAATATCTACCTTACCTAAAATAATTGCTTGCTGCTGCAAGGACCACACGGTGGCACGAAAAATGCATGCTGCCAACACACAGGGTAACGTCTGTGAGAGAGTTTTCTAGACGGAGATTCTCCAAGCCATTCTGTAGGACCATGGATAAGCCTGTGTCATTAAATTTTACCCTTTCATTCAGAGAAACTTCCACAAATTCTGCCATGTCCCTGGTACATTCATTTTCCAAAGGCAATACAGTTTGATCCTCCAAGTCCTTCTTCACCATGTCCCCCATGTTTGATCACTTAGCACCATGTCATGCCATTGATACTTCAATTAGGGATACTCTCTCAGCCTTAGACAAGTCATGCTGCAGATGTAAGACGGATTTCCTGTGAGGGCCTCCCCACTTATCTACAGCTGTCACACTCACATAACAGGAAGCCTTGCACTTTCTCATCCTGTTAACACAAACAAAGTCAGTTGTTTTCTAAATCTTACATATTTCAAGTATTCATATACTTAAAGATGACTTTCATATGCCTTTAAATATGAGAAAACTGTAATTTATAGCAAATAGTATTAAAATTGTTTTCACTTTTTTTGCAGGTCATTAAAATTTATTGTCTGGATATACTGTATTAAACCTTTTAAACATCATACTTGACCACATGTATAAGGAAATGTATAGTGAAAATAAATTTTGTATTTATCAGTGTTTTAAATTTAAATAACCGGAAATGAAATACAATGTTTCTCATTAGCGTGTGAATGTCAACAGTATCATATTCAGGAAATCTATATATTAACTTTTAAGAGATAATACATTACTTTAAAAATTATAAAGGGGAAGTCATTTCTTTTTTTACACTATATTCTTTTTTCTTTCCTAATTTTTTCTTTTCTGCATTTTCTATCTTTTCTTTTTATTCTTTTAGTTTGTATTAATTTTTATCTTTCAATTGTAATTTTAATAAGAGTATAAAAAGGATATCTATATATTAAATACAGCTGGATTTTTCAGTACATATTTATTTTATATATGGGTTACCACCTAAAGTCATGTTTCATTTAAAGTAATCCTAGTATTATATTGGTAATATATACAAATGCCAGCCATAATATCAATGCAATACATAAAGTACACTGAAATAATATTGGCAATATTAAAAAGAAAATGCAATCTATGTTCATTCTATGCTAATGTCCTTTCTACAACTGAGGAATCATCTGCATGTCTTGCTAGCCCCAGTAAAAGAAACATATCAATCTTTTTTTTTGAGGAATATACTCCTATAGGCATCCTCAAACTACCCATTGTCCACCTCAAAGTGACCTTCACTTTGTTATTTTTCACTCCCCTTCAAAAATGTATGTTTTTTCACCTCTGTTATTATAAACAGTGGCAAGTGGTCAATTTATGGCAAATCATTTGGTAAGTCTGAAGAACATCACAGGCCTTTGCCACTGGTTTTAGGAATATTGCCTTTTGGCTGTGGAACAGTCAGATCTCTGTCATTGTGCCAAAAAGCCATGGGATTAGAAAGGGAGCCTTGCCCATAACTTTTCCTTTCCTTTTCCTGTCTTCCATTGGTGGGAAGGGGAAGAGAAGGATGATTCCTTTGAATTTCCATGGCCATAAACTGCTACCAAAGGAGGTATTATCTGCCCTACTTCTTTTTTCACCTATTTTTGGTGTGAACAGAAGTTCTACTGAAGCAGAGTAAGGTTGAAAGTATGGTCCAAACTTAACTTTAACTGTCATAGAGCTACAAGGTCCAGCACTGAATACCTGAACTTTAGCATTATTGTATAGGAGAACAGTGAGTCATTCTTTTTATGTCTTAGGACCTGAGGCTTCTTTAAGATAATAACTACTTTCTCGTCAAGGCCGTTACATCAAATGGAGACTGCCAATCTGAACCTCAGACTGCATGGAGATTTCCTTGCCTTTATTTTTTTATCTGCAATCATCCCTTGTACTGGTGTAGAAATGTTGAAAGGTGCCAAAATGCCTTTCTTTTGAGGATTTGATTTTCCCGCTGGGAGAGCTCCGGTGCAAGGATATGGACAACTGCTTGAAAGCTGGAACTTTTTATTTTTTCAGGAAGGCGGAGAACAGCAAGAAGTCTGTGTTCCTGGGCTAGCTAGCTTCTTATGGTAAGTCCCTGGTTTTTTATACCCTTTTCTCCCTTTGTAAGTTGATTTTGTGTGAATGTTTGTATTTGTGCTTAATGTTTCAAATCCTGTTTGAGTTTGTCTTTATTCCGCGGGGTGGCTAGATTGCATTATTGGTTTTCTCTTTTACCTTTAAGATAGTTTTTCATATTTGTTCTGTGGCAATCTCCTGTCTGTCCCTTTTGTAATTTATATTTTGTGTCTTTTGTCTGTTTGTTTTGCTTATTTGTTATGTCCCGTGTTTGTAAGGGTTTTCTATATTATCTTTTTGTTTCCTTTTCTTATTTGTCTAGTTTTCTTAATTACTTAGGCTTTTGTCTATAGGGATTCTTTAATACCTTTTTTATTTGATTCCTTTTCCTATGTAAGTTTGTTTTATGGCTGACCTGATGTTCCCCTTGGGCTTTTCCTGTTTTTGTGACACTACTGTCTTCGTGAAGTTCCCTTTCCACAGAAACTTTCCACATGATTCAAAGACTCCAGAAGGCAAAATACACAAGTTGCAACTACAACATTTACGAGAAGTCTATAGCAGGTAATGTTATTTTTAATCCACTCATCACAGCATGGGTTTATTAAAAAAGACATGCTTCTGACAATATTTGCCTGGTGATATGTATTTTTGACATCACAGCAGTAAATTAGATCTAATTTTTGGGATGCAGATCCAGATTGAATTTATGAAGCAGGTTCTAAGAAGATAGGTATCTGTACCATCTTTTGTTTCCTGAATTACAATTTTGTGTCTTCACCCAATATTGCTTTTTGTTTTGCTTTGGTGCCTTTGAGTCAATTTTGACTCCTAATGATTGCCTGGACAAGTTCTAGCCTGGTGCTTTACATCAAACTAACTTTCTTCACTCATTGTCTAGAGTTACTAGAAATAAATTTATTTCTTCATACATCATTATTATCCAACAAGGATACCTCTTATCTGTATAAAACTCCAATTTGGTTCTTGAATCATCAACCTCTTTTATTAAGAGAATCTCAAATTATTAAGAATGCAGTGATGCTCAACAGTGTGCTTATATATTGATTGTATGTCTATCCTTAATCATTATGCAATACATTAAAAAGCTTATTGAAATTGTAAAGCAATATGGTTTAATGTTAACTCTCAAAGAATGGTTAAAAAGGGATAGACATAAAGATGTTTATGTCAGTGTAAGAAATTGAACATTTCTTTAACTCATCAGATCTGGTCTTCTCCAGCTACGGGCTTGCTTTGGTTTTAAATCATTGTGTATGTCAATATAATATTGGGAAGAAATACTAAAGGATATCTAATTTGCCATCTCATGCTTTGTCTCTCGAGTGTGTAGTACAACAAAAAGGAACATTTTATGTAAATAGAAAGCAGCTTTCTCTCCTGATTTCAAGGATCCAGAATATAAATTTATCTATATTTTTAAAAGTCTCTTTATTCTAACAATGAGAAGATGCAATGTGTGTCTCAGGTGTTGATTTAATAATAAGTGAAGGAGTGAATTTATTTTGTTTCATCATCTGTATTAGATTTTTTTCCTGTTAATTAGTTTTCTTCTTTGGACACTATTTAGCTTATTTTAATCATTACATTATGGTAGATTTTCTTTCTTCACTATATAATCAGTTATTTTATAGCGCTGTTTTTTTATAGTTTAACAGAAACAAACTTTAAGAAATTGAAGCTGCCACTGTCTGCCTATACAGATATTACCACGCAATATCGCCTCTACAGCAATAAAGTTATACATCATCTCAGTCTTGTAAGTGGAAATTTACTCCTTACGACGTCTGAAATTGCGTCGCAAACCATTCGATTAGAAAACTACATTTCCCAAGACATCTTTCAGCCGGCCCTGCTGAGATTGGCTAGTAAGTGCGTGACATCATCTGTTTTGACTCTGAGAGGTCACATGTTTGGGGTCTTCTTTGTTTAGAGTTGAGCTCGAACTTGAAAAAGACAAAAAGAGCGAGCGGCGAGCGGGCTAAGGAGAAGGAAGCAAGAGGCTTGCTGCTGGCTACTCTAATTCCAGGAAAAAGCGTCAGACAGGTAAACGCCGTCACTGTGAACTCAGTCGTTGAGAACTGAGCTGAATTCCCCGAGGCCAAAAATATCATTGGGGGCCGGGTCATCATTTCTATTTCAGCAGAAACACATTCAAAACAACAATACTAATGCCATTAATCTTGAAAAGCTTGATGTTAGTGTTGACACTCCTTGCCTGATGATAAAATAGATGACCCCCACCCCCCAGCATTGCCCCATCCTTTCGCGTTTCGCGAAAAAGTGTTAAATGCAATTTAATGGAGTTTTAAATGCATACGGATTCTTTGTAAAATCTGCCATTCCTTTGACATTGTTATGTGGCCAGTGAAAAGGATACTAGCGTTGATTTCTTTCTTCTGTTGGCAGCGCGAGAAAGGCACATCGTACAAATCAGAACACCGTTAGTGCTGTTGAACGCTTTGTTTATGCAAAGGAAGTGCGATCCATCACAAGGTGGAAAACAATCTGCGTGGCGGCGGTGGCGGGTGAGGCGCGCAAAGCGGCTTTCCTTCTCGACCGCTTCTTTAAAATGCGTAAATGTGGATTTGCACTGTTGGCGACGCAGATTTCGGCCACTTGTAAAGTGCTTTTCTTTTAAGGGACCTTTCCTATTTAGACCCTTAAATAGATCTATCGTGTACAAATGTGTCTTTTCCCTTCCTTTTTCTCGCTTCCAAGTACTTCGGCCAGTGGTTGGACTTCTATTTCTGCTTGGACCGATTAGAAAGTTTTGGCCAGCAGATTTGTGTTATTTCTGAGAACAGCGGGAAGTTCGCCCATTGTTTCCCCCCGCCCCCAACTGCTTTACAGTATCTAGAAGTTCGGTTTGGTGACTCTTTTACGTTTAGTGGCAAGTGCACCGCCTATAAGAAGCAGTCTGTGTAGTCGCCCCTTTCCCGGGCTCAACGACACATTCCCGGGAGATCAATCTCCCGGTACGTAGAATTCCCCCCCCCGCCCCCCCGAGGCGGTTGGTGAAGTGGCTGTTGGCTGGTCTCTCCACTGGAGTAGACCATTTTTTCCGGAAGGGAGGACAACAATAAGCTCCAAAAACCATTAAGCCGTCGGCATTTTTTTTAAAGGATTTAGGCATTACTACTATGAGCTATATGAGGGAAAAGAAAAGA